TCAGGATCTTACGCTTGCCAGGGAAGCACTTATTCTGCTGAGCTAATTTCGCAACCCTCAATGTTTTGGCTATGTAGTAGAATATTCTTTTTTTTCTTTTTTCTTTTTTTTTGTGGTACCAGGGATTGAACTCAGGACCCTGCACTTGCCAGGCAAGTGCTTATTCTCCTGAGCCATTTCCTCAGCTCCTATAAGCAACTTCTTTTCTGTAGGCCTTCTTAGAGCCTTTATACACATATCTTACTTTGGGAATATTCAAGAAGCATATTTAGCACACATTTCCCAAAAGTTTGATTATAGCACTTTAAATAGTTACTACAGTTTTTTAAAAAACATCTTTTATGAGTAGTTGTCATGTTGAAAAATATTTAAATACTTGAGTTTGGTTTTGTTCCCCTTCATTTTCATAAATCTATATTCTTGATGTATTTCTAAGATGCTATAGTCTTTTCCTGTTTGCCCTTCCTCTTATAATAGGTTCCAACTCACTGATTTATTCTATATTTGAGACCCTTGCAAAGTCATCCAAATTGCGCTGTGCATACTGGGTGTGAGACAGAATTTTTTGTTATGATATCTCAGGGATTAGATGGATGAAAGTTGAAGATTGAAGCTTCATTGATTTTGTTTTCCCTAAAGTTAGGTTTTCTGGTAAGTGGAGGAATGATATCAACTTAATGGATAGATTGCTGTGGAATTGTGATTGTAATGCCTTAAGGGTAGACAGTATCACTTGGGAGTTTAATATACAGCAGTTCCCTTTGTCTCTCCTATTTTCTCTCTACTTAATTTTGAATAGGTCACTTTGCCTCTCTGTTCTTCAATTCTGTCTCATGTAAAACTCAGGAGTTTGATTTCAGTGATCAGTGTAGGTCTGAAAATGTTATGGATGCTGCTGGCAGTCATGGTTAGGTAGAAAAGTGGATCTTAGTAAAGTCTATACTGATACATAGCAATGCCTCGTTACCTAAGTAAAAGTATTTGTGTGAGTGCCAAAATTAGTGCAAGAAGAGAATACAGAGTGGACATGGAGGTGGGAGTATTTTTAGTATTTCTGTTTCTAAGTTCTTGTTAGTGTTTTTAATATCAGTGAAGATTGTGGGCCGGTGTGGAATATTTTGTTCAACTATGTGAGTTTGCACATATGAATATGAGTAATGTATTACCTGTCCCACATCAGTCCTTTGAAGAATGACATTATTTAGTGATTAGCTCATAGTCAGTTTTATATATTTGAAAACTTGTTGAACTGTTTGACACTTCTCACTCAGTTGGTTAATTTGTTCATTACCAGGAAAGCACTTGATTATATCACAGCTCAACTAATACAGTGATTCAGAGAAATCCACACCTCTTGTGCCAGTGCCCTCTACATTTGATTCTTTGATCAGGAGAGAAATCCACGGTATGCATAGAGATCATCTCCCCTACCCCAGAACAGTGGGTGGTCTTGCTGTGCTTTCTGTGCACGCTGCCTGTTGGCAGATTGTTAGACTTAGCACAGTGAAGGCCCAAATGCACCAAAGGGAGGCTATCTAGAAATGAGCTTTAAACTTTCTCTGTTGAAATTAGGACTGTGACATAGCTATTACACAGAAGGGTCGTTAGGCTGAATTTGATTTTATTCTGTGGAGGTAGAACATTTTGTTAGAAGGAAAGCCCAGGAGAGCTGAGGGTGACTGAATTGTTAACTGCCCTTGTGTCCCCATACCCCCTTTAGCAGAAGACATTTTTTTTTTTTTTTTTCCAATGGGATGACAATCAGGGGACTTATCAAGAACAAGTGAATTGTAAGAAAATCCTTTCAGTCTGCTTGTGTCCCATTTCACCTTGCTTTTTATGTCATCTGGTACATACTGCCAAAGAGCTTGGCTTCCTTTGAAGTTGTGAAGCATTGCTGCTGGCAGTCATGATGGTGGAGTAGAAAAGTGGCTCTTAGTAAAGCCATTACAGATACAATACATTGCAATGCCTCATTGCCTAAGTAAAAGCATTTGTGTGAGTGCTGAAAATAGTGCAAGAGGAGACTAGAGTGAACAGGAGGTGGGAGAAGTATTTCTTGTGAATTAGGGATGTCCTTTCATAATTCATGAGTTGCAGAATGAGAAAAGGCTTGAAATCACCTGAAAAGCATCTGGACGCAATCTTTCATTTTTAAGAGGTAGCAGGAGAGCCTGTATCTCTCCAGTATGTGATGGTAGAATTATTGATGTGGGATTTTGGAAATAGTACTTGTGAAACCTCTTGCCATTAAATACCCAGAGATTTGACTCTAAGCTGACACTCCAAGTTCCCAGGTACTTGATAAGCAATTAATTGAAGACAGTGCAGGAAGCTAATTTGGACATAGTGAGGGAATCTGACCATGAAGAGCTTGTTTATTTACATGTGAAGTGCTAACCTTTTCATGTCCCACCCTTCTCATGTCCAGTTGCCAATGCTGTTATGCCTGGGGTCTTATCTGTTCTTTTTTATTTTATTTTGATACAGGATCTTGCTATGCAGTTTGGGCTCATAGTGATCCTCCTGTCTCTGCCTCCGCAGTACTGGGATTACAGGAGTTCACTACCATGCCCAGTTTGGGAGCTACACAGCAGGCAGTACCAGGGATTGAACTTGGGACCTTGTGCTTGCCAAGCAGGTGCTTATACCGCTGAGCTATCTACCCAGCTTTGTCTGTTCAGGGGTGTGTGTGTGTGTGTGGGGGGGTACTGGGGATTGTACTGAATCCAGGGCCACTCTATGAACTGAGCTACACCTAGCCCTTTTAATGCTTTTTTTTTTTTTTTTTTTTTTTTTTAACCTTTTTACCTTTTGGCTAGCCTTGAACTTATTATGTGTCTCAGGCTAGATAGACTCTCAATTGATCCTCCTGCCTCAGCCTCCTCAGTGCTGGTGTTACCATTGTGTGCCATCACACCTAATTTTTTAAAAATTTGAGATGGGGTCTTGCTAAACTGTCCAGGCTGTCCTTCAACTTGTAATCCTCCTGCTTCAGCCTATTAAAATCTGGGATTACAGTGTGTGCTACTGTGCTATGCTTAATTTTGAGGATTAAGGCCATAGTGTGCTATTTCATCTCTGTTTTTTTATGATGGGTGTTACAATATATTCTAAGCTTTTGAAGCCTTCTGTAGGTTAAACACAGACACGCATGCATCCACACATGCATGCTCACACATACACACCCTCACATATACACACCCTCTTATAATGAGGTTCTTATAGGAACCATCTTAAATTGGGCTGTTGTGTAAAAGTTGTGACATCAGGGAGTGGGCTCAGCACCTGTCCTTGAGAAATACTTAGAATATAGATTTTGAAAGACTCATTCTACAAGACTCTGGCTTCAATTACTCACCTTAATCCATGCAAAGACGTAAATATACCTACTATTTATAGTTGTATCAGAAGAGATTACATTTTATCTTTTGCTTTTATGTAAATAATTGTGATTGTATGTAATTTCCACATTGTGCCCTAATTTTTCTTTGTGTTTTAAACTCATAATTGATTGCTGACAGAATTGTGATTAAATTATGTGCTTATACTAAAATTTTTTTGACTGTTCCTCTTTTGGGCTGTTGTTAAAAATTAATTTATTGGTACACTTTTGATACATAGAATGATCACATTTATTGTAGGGAATTTGTACCTGTACATAATATCTTAATTCTCTTTTTTCCCTTCCTTCAGTCTTTCCCCTCATTTACAAGACCTTTGTTTCCATTTTTTTCTACATGTTTTTCCTTTTGGCTTTTAAGTTGTTTCCACTTTAAATGCTTAAGTATAATATTTGTTACTTTCTTCTCTCTGTCTGTCTGTCTGTCTGTCTGTCTGTCTGTCTGTCTGTCTCTCTTTCTCTCTTTCAAAACAGGGTCTTGCTATGTAGTTCAGGCTAGCTTTAAACTCACTATGTAGCCCAGGCTGGCCTCAAACTCAGCGATCCTTCCTGCTTTTCTTAAACAATATTCCTTCTGACAGATTTTCCCTAACTTCTACCTATTATGATTTTAAATAATGACTTTTTTTGTGAGTCTGTTTAGTATTTTGTTCAGTTTCTGCTTTTTGTAGCTGAGTATTCAGCTTAGTCATTTTAAATGTTTTTATTGCTGCCCTGCTATCTTTTCTGTTGGGTAATTTCCCAGATCCATTCTCTTCAGATTTGTGTTTTCCTGGTTGTGTAGTTAGGGTGAAGCCATGCATTTGTGTTATGAAACTTGTTTTGTCAATTTGGTCAGATGGTATGAGGTACATATCTAAGACCAAAATAGACTTTGCCCATGGGATGACAAGAAATGCAACTTTGAGATACTGGCATCTATATAAATCGGAGGTATCTGGGGATATTTTGGGAATATTGTACATTTTTGAAAGCTATTTATAAAAGTTACTTGTGGTCCCTTGCTTGTTATTTTATATCATAGTGTCCTTATTATCTCTGTATGCTGCTGTTGATTCATACATGTGGATTTAGGTTTACATTTTTTATTCTCTTCTGAAAGAAAGATATAATTATTTCACATCTCTTAGAAGACTTCCTTGTTACTTTCTGATAGCCAGGAAGCTTTTCTTATTTTTCAGATTTCTAAATATTCATTATTTATCGTTCGTTCATTCATTTTTATTTAAAAAATGCAAGCTGAGGAGAATGAGCTCAATATGCACCATAGTTATAGTGGCAGATGGGAGGGGAGAAATAAAGAAATGTAGGTTGGGTTTTGTAATTTATTAATGATGGTGGGACTTTTTAAAAATTCTTTTCTGTAGATTTGAAAGTTTTCTGGGGGTTCCTGCCAGAACTGGATACTAGAGGAATTGTTTTACGTTTCTCTGGAGAGTGAAGTGACCCAGTGCAGCTAAGACTGTCAAAGAGAGCAGTCACGGGTATGTATGCCTTTCTTATTATTAAAATTGACATGTTTGGTAATGTTCAATAATAATTTCTTTTTGGGTTGGCCAAATAGCTCAGCAGATTGAAGCACCTGCAAGCAGGCATAGCGGCTGGGGGCTTGATCCCTGGGCCTGCTGTGCTGGCCCCACTTCTGGTGCACGCTGAGACAGCAATTGAGACTGGGCATGGTGGCGCATGCCTGTAATCCTAGCTCTAGGGAGGCTGTAAACTGGAGGATCACTATGAGTCTGATCTTTTTTTTCCAGGTTCAATTCCTTTTTTAAAAAAATTAATTTTATTGAGAGACAAATAGCAATGAGATAGTTTCAAAACCAATTAGTAGGACAGTTTCAATAATTAATACATTGCATATTGTTGTCTTCATAGTGGTTGTTCATAGTACAAGATGCAGACATGATATCCTGTCCAAACACTACTAGTATAAATCTTTCTTCTCATTGAATTAAGAGAAAGTAGCTGTATATCTATCTTAACTATTTTGTATATACAGATACGAAATGGTCCTTCATTTGTATCCCCTTTTTTGTTTAGTTTTGTCAGAGATGGGTATTCTCTTGCCATTTAAATAATGTAGGTGCGTGAATTCAGCAAAATAATCCAATATGAGTCTAATCTAGTAGTGAGATCCTGAACACCCTGTAGACCCTTCCCCCCACAAAAAATTTCTTTTTTAGAAAATCATTTATGTATTTGGTAGAGGATCTTGATACACAGCTCAGTCTTGTGTACCCAGTGGTGGGATTCTCAGCTGGCTCAGTGTGCCCAGGGGCAGGGGCAGCAAGGTATTTGGTACGAGGGATTGAAGCTGGTTCAGTGTGCTTGCTAGGCAGGTGCTTATCCCACCAAGCTGTCTCCCCAGCCCAATAATAATTTCTTGAACAAGCCTACTTGAACCTACACATTTGAAGGAACATGATTCAGAAATGACTTTTTGAGAACCGATGCTATCATCTACTAAAAGTGTTTAAAAAATATTTCTTTGAGAGCCACATCCTGATCCTCTGGTCACATTCTTTTAAGCAACCTGTTTTCTGTGGTGGCATCTCTAGGTCTTGTGGGGATGCTTCTGGGAAACAGTCTCCACTCCCTTAAAGATGGGGTAGTTGAGTGGGAGCACTCTGATTTTCATCAAAACCAAGGAATAGTAACATTAGAAAACTAGTTTTCCTTTTTATAATTTGGTGTGTACTTCAATACTCACAATATGTTAACAATCAGTTCTAAGAAGTTATTGTGAATTTCAGACAATGCTAGCATTATTGAAGTAAGTTATTAGGTTACATAGACAGGCATATTTACTTGAGTGTATGAATGTTGAAGTTCTTACTAAAATCAGTATTGTAGACAAGTTCTAGTATTAATCAGATTAAATAAGATGTTATCTAAACTTTTTATAAGGTGTTCCTATGGATGTTTTGCAGTGTTTCTCAAAGCATTATTAGAATACTTGTTAAAAATACACATTAGAAATTCAAATTACTTTTCAAGTTACTGAGTTGGGAGCTCAGTGGTAGGGGTATTTTGCATTGAGAGAAGCCTTGTGTTCAGTTCTCAGCAGCTAAAACATTTAATTTATTGGTGTGATATACTTCATTAAGGTTATACTTTAAAATTGTAGCAAAATACATCATAACATAAAATTTACCATTCTAATCCATTTTGCATACACAGTTCAGTGAGATTAAGTACATTCGTATTATTGTGCAACCATCACCAGCGCCCCTTACTAGAACTCTTTACAGCATGGAAAACTGGAACTTTATACTCAACTTGGAAAACTGGAACTTTATACATGTTAAACAGTAACTCTTTCTTCCTGCCTCTATTCCTTGTCAGCTAACATTCTACTTTTGGTTTTTATGAGTTTAACTACTTGATATACCTCACATAGTATTTATTTTTTCTGTGGCTGGCTTCTTTCACTTAGCATGTCTTCAAGGTTCATACATGTTGTATCATATGTCAGAATTTCCTTCTCAAAAGCTGAATAATACTTATTTGTAAATAAATCTCATTTTGTTTATCTTTTTTCCATTCTGCCTGTTGAATAATGCTGCTGTGAGTATGGGTATATAAATAGCTCTTTGAGTCCTTGCTTTTACTTTTTCTGTGTAGCTATTTGCAAGTAGAATTGCTAGATTGTAAAGTAATTCTGTATAGATTTTTAAAAAAGTATTAGTATGTGTTTGCAATGCATGCATTTGACAGTAATCTTGGGCAGTTGGTACAGGTACAGAATATGGCTTCTTTTTGTTTTTTAAAAATCCCTTTCCCACCCTTTTCCTTCCTCCTCTAATTCCCTTCCCTCTTTTTTTTTTTGGAACCAGGGATTGAACTCAGGCCATTGTGCTTGCCAAGGAAGTGCTTATTCTAATGAGCTATCTCCCCAGCCCCTCCCTTCCCTCTTGTCATTTTTGTTGGTATTATTAATCTTAGATCATGCTAGGGCATATAATGTCCACATTCATTGAGGTCATTAGAGTCTTGTACCTCACACATCTTCACTCTACCTATTTTTTCATTCCTTCTCCCTGCCGTAGGCCCCTGAACCCCTTCCTATGTGCAACAAATCCAGCTCCTTGTTTCCTTCTATCCTTTTAATTTTTCTCTTAGTTTGTGCCTTATCTTCCTTGAATGAGAGATACCATATGGTATTCAAGCTTGCTTTTGTGATTTATTTCATTGAACATTGTTTTCCAGCGTATCCATTTTCCTATAAATGTCTCAAATTTGCTTTCTTTATAGTTGAGCTTTATTCCACTATCTATAGAGACTACATTTACTATAGTTTGTTAATGGGTTTACAGATCACTTCCAGGATTTAGCTATTATGAATTGTGTTGCTATAAACGTTGGTATACATGTGTCACTATAGAATAATGTCTTAATCAATTTTAGGAAGATACCTAGAAAGAGGATAGCTGTGTCATAAGGAATTTCTAATCTTAGTTCTTAGAGAAATCTCCATATGTTTACATTTTTGAGGAATCACTAAACTATTGTTTGTTGCACTTGTGCCATATTGCATTCTCACTAGGAGTGCACAAGTTTCAGCTGGGTGTGACAGTGCATGCCTGTAGTCCCAGCACACTGGGAGCCTGAGGCAGGAGGGTTGAAGACTTGAGTCCAGGCTGGGCAACTTAGTGACATTAGTAACTTAGTGAGACCTTGTCTCAAAATGAAAAAAAGGACTAGGGGTGGAGCTCAGTGTGAAGGCCCCAGCATCAGTCCACTATGGGGGGATTGGGCATTCCAGTTTCTTCACATTTTTGCCAATAATTATTATTTTCCATGGCTTATTCTTTTTTTAAAAAATAGTAGCCATCCTGGTGGGTATGAGACAAACCTCATTGTGGTTTTGGTTTCTATTTCCCTACTGATTTGTGATGTTGATCATCTTTTTATATGCTTGCTGGTCATTTGTATATTGTAGGGATCTGTTGGTCTCTCAACAGTATATATTTGGAGAAAAGTCTATTTAGGCCCTTTGTCAATTTAAAAAATTCCGTCCCTTTACCCTATTCTGCTCCCCTCCCCCCCACCTCCAAGTATCTGTTATCTTTCTATTTATTTAGATTTCTCATACAAAAATGTGATATTTAACTTTCAGAATTTGGTTTATTTTGCTTAGCATGATAGTCTTGAGTTCTATCTATTGTTATACAAATGACTTTCATTTTTTGTTATGACTGAATCATTTTATAATGAATTTATAGCACATACCAGTTTGTTATATATATATGTCAAGTTTCTTTATCCATTTATCTGTTGATGGACATATAGACAGTTTCTAGAGCTTAGCTGCTATAAATTGTGCTGCTATAAACATGGATATGCATGTAGCAATATAGAATGATGTTTTATTTCTTCTAGTAATATACGTTTTTGGAGAAGTGTATCATCAAATGGTATTTCTATTTTCAGTTTTTTTGAGAAACCTCCATACTCTTTTTTGTAGTGACTGTGCTAGTGTATATTCCTACCAAAATGTAGAAGGAATCTTCTTCATATCTTTGCCAGCATTTATTTTGTTTTCTGTTCTGTATAATAGCCATTCTGGTGAGAGTCTGATGAATCTCAAAAAAATTTTATTTAATGTATTTGGTATAGGATCTCACTACACAGCTCAGACTTGTAGTGATCCTCCTGTTTTCAGCCTCCCTGGTGCAAGGATTACAGGCATGCACCACCATGCCTGTACTCCGTGGCTGGCTCAGTGCACCTGGGGATGGGGCTAGCATGGTATGTGGTGTTGGGGATTAAACCCCAGTCCTTGTGCTTGCCAAGCAGGCGCTTAGTCTGCTGAACTATCTCACCAGCCCTTCAGAGTTGTTTTTATGTCCATTTCCCAAATGGCTAGAAATATTGAATATCACAATATCTATCTATCTATCTATCTATCTATCTATCTATCTATCTATCTATCTATGTAATTTTTTAAAAATGCATTTAGTACAGGTTCTACAGGGTCTCACTACACAGATCAGACTCATAGTGATTCTCCTGTTTTCAGCCTCCCAAGCGCTGGGATTACAGGTACACACTGCCACGCCCAATCTCAATCACTGTCCCAGTGCTTCCTGGGGGTTGGGCCGGCACTGCATGTGGGGGATCGAACCCCAGTCCCTGTGTCTGCCTAAGCAGGCACTTTAATTCACTGAGCTATCTGGCCGGCCAATGTTCAATATATTTTCATGTACTTATTGGCCATTTGAGAAATGCCTAGTTAAATTGCCCATTTTTGATTGGAGCATTTTTTTGGGGGGGCTGTTAACATTTTTCAGTTTTTTATGTAGTCTAGATATTAGAGTTTTAATCTTGTGCAAGTAGATAGCTAGTTTTCCTA